CTTTATCGCAACTGGCTTTCTTAATTATTACATGTACTTGCTCTGAAAACATAGCTTTTACAATTGTTTAAATTAACAGATGTTGTTCTATGTACAATGAATACATTTTAAATAATAAACCTTACTGTGTTAATAACAAATTGTATTTGACAACATGAGAATGATTCTGATGACCAGTGGTGATGTTGAAACAAACCCAGGTCTTGGTAATATACTAAGATCTGATTAACAAAGAAGTCATGTACCGGTACATCAAGGTTCACTCAGATTTATGAATGCAGTTTCTTGAGCAAGTATACATGTATGACAAATAGTTTTGTTGCACTTGTGTACTCTGAGATTCTGAACATGGGTCAGTGGAAGTTTTTAGTTGTCAATACAAAACTAGATCATCGGAAATCACTTTATGATGAGTTGTAACCACAAAGAGTACATATTTATTCACCTGTTTGCAGATGTTCCTTGTACAACTTTATAATCAAATAACGGGGACTGTGACATTTCATGTCTTGTTATTTTGTAAATAAATGTTCGTCTGCTATTTTTATCCAGTTTAGCAACATTTTTTACTGAGTTTTATCATAGTACGAAGTACCAGGAGGTTTCTGCTGGCGACGTTGCGGCGTTACCCAGTTCCAAATAAAGATTACCAACGCCAAATGAGCAACATTTTAACCGGTAATCAAGATTCATTCAATCCACGGCTAGCAAGCAACATCAGAAGCGAAGTTGTAGCATGCAGTACTAGTAAGTCATCCCGTCAGTGGAGTACCACAAAAACACATTGCAAATCATGCAAGTTCAACATTTTCAAACCAATATACTAAAACAGGAATGCTCAGAGTGCAAAAGTATGATAGTTATTACTTTCCAGTATACACATCTCTGTTAATACTATCCCTCACATATTCTACTCCCAATTACTCCTGCGTATAATGGACTAGCCTCTTTTCATGTTGACATTCAGACTAAAATCATGTGACAGGCTGTTAAAATTGGCTGTTGCATACTCTTTCGCCGGTCTGGGAAATGTGTTTAATTAGCTCTCATTCAAGCAACAATGCAGATTCCCCAGTGGGAGTGAAACTATTCGACTCTGCCATTAAAAATAGGGGTGTTTTCAGCAAAAAACGAATAACCCTGGAATGCACACAAAATACTGAATTTCGGAACAAATCGTGCATTACTTACAGCAGCAGAATACCACAGAAATATCAGACGAAACATGAAAACACTATATATTGTATTTCGGCCTGAACCCTCTATATTGCAATTCAAGGAATTAACCCCTTATGTGCATCCATTTCCTACCTTGGTATCACCCACCCCTGAAAACAAACTCTTAATACCACGCTGAAGCGTTTGGTAAAAACCGACTTAGAACGCATCGATTACGACTCTGATGGAATTCCTATTATGTCTTTACTAGACTCCTCACATCCGACAATGTACAACACACACTTGCACTTGCCAAGTGCGACCACGTATGTGCAGTCGGTCCGGCGAATCATTTATTTAACAAAACACAGTAATAAAGCTGACTAAAAACGGCTGCCATTACATTGCAGGTGAAGTGTACAGATTGAAAACAACTATATAAAATGCGAAAAAAAATATATATTGATGCTCGGCAAATGCCACTAACTTTACTCTGTCAAAGAAACATTTAAAATAACTGACAAAAAACATCGACAAAAATAACAACCCCCGTTACTGGCACACCGACTGCCCAGGAAAAACCAGGAATAATAAAAAAAAAAAACCTTGGGGACAAAAAATCCCTGGAAACCTGTACCCGTTGCACTGTCAAACATGCCTAGGGGAAGGTGGCGGATATCGCCCTGTATTATACAACAAACATTAATACACTTACAAAACAACCAATTGAAAACTGCACAGTAGCAAGACTGGCTCCCTACTTTGAGCTTAAGGTCGAGCGCCACTCACGTCTACGTGTCAGGCTAATGCTGTAATCTGCGTTCATTATCCCATGTGTTTGTGTGTGGGTGTGGGTGTTTGTAAATTTATTTATTTTTCTGTCTTTTACCCTGTTAGAATATTTCACTTCAAATACTAGTATTCCTTAAAGGAAATTTATTTCTTTGTAGATTTTAATACGCTCTAGACCACAGAGAACAGATAAGTCACGGAAGTATTGCAATGAGTTATAAATCACCTTTTTACCGTAATCCTTGACCTAGACTGGAATTTCCGCACATTCCGTTAGCTCGAACATTATCTTCTCTGGAAGCCCACGTACAAATTTAAAAAAAACAATGAATTTAACTTTGAACTAAAACCGACTGAATATATTGACAATTACTCAGTCTGTTTTATTTAGCAAACTGCAACTCAGTCGAGCCGAAATCGAACGAACCAATCTCAGTGCAATCATCGACAAACGAACATTTACTGTAGTTCTACGTGATCACACACACACATATCATCTCTTGTCGGGTAAGTACGAGAATTAATTAATTAATTAATTAATTAATTAGTTAATTAGGTAATTAATTAATTAATTAACTAATTAATTAACTGATTAATTAGTTCCTTTTTTATTCTACGGGTAAATAATATATCAATAACGACTGGACAGTGAGAAATAAAACCGAGAAATCCTGCGGGCAGGCCAACACCAAGTGGCACGGACAATGGGGGAATCGAACCCCCCTGCCCGGTGCCATCGGGATAACAGTCATCCGTTTGACACATTTCTCGGTTCAAAATAAAACGATTTAACGATTACAAGTGATTAGCGGAGGTTACAAACAGATAAACAATGAACAAGTGACGAGAGGTGAGTTAGAGACATGTACGACATTGAACGATAAAAATAACAAATGGTTCTACACTTATCGTGGATGCTTATCCACGTGTGTGTTTCTCGATTCAATTATATTTGTTGTTGTTTAATTATAGTTATTATTTTTCATTCGTATTTACTTTGTATCGATAGACAACCATTTTCTGTATTTGTTCGTTTTGGTTTCATTCGATTCCAAGCATTATTCTCTGAGTTATGTCTGTTAGAAGCCGTTTCATGCTTCATTTCACCTCACAATACATGTATTCCTATGACAAAGAAGCACAAATCAATTTATTGTAAGCCATTTACGTAATGTCCACAAACATGCCTTTGTCACACATTCGAGAGAAGTCGCAACTTTGTAGCGGATTAAGCCGAAATGTTTATTCTATAGTGACCTTCTCACATGGCACACCAATCATAGCGTTTTTCCTCCAATTTTAAAATCCGCGATGTAATCCTATTAACCCTATATAAAAGGTGTTTTAGTGCATGTTTAGTGTGGATTGTTCTAATTGTACTTTGATGCCAGACTTGTCTTCCGAAATAAACGACGTATTACAGTCTACCATAGTTTTTTGTGTTACCATTACACAATCACAGTGCTCACAGTTTTTTTGGACCTGATCGAATGTGTGCGATAGACAGCCACAACACTCAAATAATTACAATTCGAAAAATACTTAAAAGTACAATAAATCTAATAAAAAGCAACTGAAAAGGCGGGTTTGTACAATTAAAAAGGATATTATTCAGCCATTGTCTAAGATATCGGGGATTATCAGTGAGTTGTCATCCAGGATTGCAATGGCGTCATTAATGCACCACTGTGTTTCAAATACATCTAGAGACTTTGTGAGCAGGTGATAGTTGTATTCGTTAGTTACCCGATACCTAATTTTGGATTTAAAACACTGTAACACATTTGTTTGTACCCGATCGTTTAACTCTTTATATCGTGTTACGTGAGTTGCCACTTTCATGGTTGTAATTATGTGACAGAGCAAACGATGTGTAGCGGTTCATTTGCTTGGTGGGCGAGTATGTACCAAGAAAGTGGTATAGTGTCAATATTTATAAGTTTATTGGCAATTAATTTCAGCAAGCTGAAAAGTGGAGCGAGTCTTGAGCATTCAATAAAATGTGGGTAAGGTCGTCCCTTTCGTCACAGAAGGGACAAGTATCAGTGGTCTGGGCTTTGGTTTTTAAAAGAAACCCGCCAGTTGGGTAGGCGCCGTGGAGCATGCGCCAATTGAGGTCGCCGTCTTTCTCTGTGATTGGGGTCATATAACAATCTCCAAAGACAGGTTTAGAGTTGGGAGAGAGAGAGAAAGTAATTAATTAACTAATTCAGTTGTTTGTTTGTTTGATTATTTGTGACGGAATGTAGGGGTCATTTAAATCATGGAAGGTACTAACGTTACATGTACATAAACGTCTGTCCCCTATGCAAATTAGTACGTGATCACGTGTTGACACGTATTGTTGTATTACTCAGGGCTGATATTGATTTATTTTTTTCTGTTATTTATATTCATCGAAAAATACAGTTCTCCGGGCATGTTTAGTCTATAGCGATTTTAATACATTTCACACACGCGTCCTGTGATGTCGCCCTCCATAGACGAAAGGTTCGAGTTCAATTTTCACTGATTTACAACTTGTTGTTATCGTCAAACTAATAAATAAAAATCTCAGTTAAAAATAGACTGACTTGAAAAAAAGTAGTTCATTAGAACGCAGTGCATTAACCTCCGTTATTATCTGTGTATGCAGTCAGTATTCACCTGTAAACAATTACTGAAATATAGCTAGGTTTTGTCGAGGAATAGCATGTCACGTGACCACACGCCACGCAAATTGGGAGTGACCCCAATCTAGAACGACTTCAGTGCAGCATACTGTAGGCCCATGATAGCAGAGGTCTCGCGCTGTATATCGCTAGTCAAGGTCGGGCCATTAACGCCTCTCAGCATTGGTCTTCACCCACTGACATCGTATGTAATCGGAAACATGGTGCTACAATCAAACCTCCTTCAATCGGTCGGTGTGCTGGCTGGCGTTGTGTTCACGTTGTACGTGCTGTGTCAGTGGAGTCGGTTCGTGCACTACCATGTCAAACATATCGCGGCATTTATATGGAGTGGATTTCTGGCGGCCTTTGTAATACCGTGTGCGCTGTTACGTCCTATGGACCCCACTAATACAAGGTACGGTCACCATGATTGTTTGGTATGTGTAGACGCTGCCACACCCACACTGATATTTATTCAAACAACTGTCTATCAGTTCTGTCTATAATTCTACGTAGTATAACGAGCATTTGTATTTAATCCACAAAAGCTATCGTTGACAGGGATTTGTATGCAATGGTTTCGGCATACACCCTAGATTTTGGTAATCGAAGAGTAAGTCCACCATCCTACCAATTTATTAACCCTGCAAATACATAGTCGGAGGGTAGTAGTTGTGGTGGTGTGGTATTATGATTCAATCTTGGCTGACAAAATTCAAGATAAGAAAATCCGGGCGGAAAAAATCCTGGTATTAATATGCGTGTTTTGATATTTCATATTTTTAAATTTAAAACGGGACTGTAAACAGCACACTGTGATGAAATATGTAACATTAGAATACGCACATCTACCGTGTAGATATTAATATTTGGACTTTATAAATCTTAAAAAATATATCTACAGACATTATGTGGTCCAACTACGAATAGAAAGTCTCCATTTCTACATATTCTACAACATTAATATTGTTTTCATAGTGTCGGTAAAAAAAACAACAACTATAAAATGTTGGTACGATGACTGTTAGATTGTCGACAACCCTCAGGCAAGAAATGCCTCTGGTCTTCGTTGAAATGCCTTTTGATTTAAATTAGCATACGAACAAATTAGGGCTGAGGACAGCCGACAGTCTAGGTGACTGTTAGCACCTTGATATTGTCTTTTTGGGACTTCGTTCTACCGTGATTTTGGCGTGTGTTCTGGAGCTATTCACTTGTAAAATGTAGTATATGGATCCGGAACCTGGTCCTGTTTCGTCTATTTTGTTCTACTGCGTAATCATATATCGTAATCGTAATATATTTCATGAATCAACTGGTTCAAACACGTTAGCTCGACTATGAACACGAATGACCTAGCTGTCACCAGTCTGAGATACGCCTAGAAGTATATGAAAGTGTCCCTTTTGGCTATACCATCTTTTAGAGGGTCTATGGCTATACACAATCCCTCCAGATGTGACGAGCAATCACATAGTTGATTGCTCTCCGGATTGTATTTTACTCGGTCGCTGCGGGCGCATTCCATTTCGCACGACCACGTACTGATCTTACGGTAACACGTTACATCCCACAACGCAACTTTACGAGGTATTTCAGTGGGACAGTTAGAGTAGGCGGTCAGAGTGGGGACCACGAGATTGACAACGGCAGAGTTGGGTCGAAGGTTGAGTGAACGACAGATCGGATCGGCATGCCTCAACATTGCGTTGATGTACAATTAGGCCTCGGAACGTGCAACCCTGGGTGTGTGTAATATTAGAAATGACGAAAACGACACGCAGTGACTTGCGTAATGTAAATATTATTGAGCAGTTCAAATATCACCTATGCGATTCCTAGTAGGTACTCTCAAAGCCAAACAACATAGCCCAAATTCAGCCCAGACAGTGCCACTTATTTACCCGGATTATTCGCCATGTTAACGGGTGGCGGGCTGTTGGGTTTGGATGGATGTGTTTCGTTTTTTTTCTTGTATCCTGACCATTGTATGAAAGCTATAATGAATTGAAATATTGATGAAAAGATCGCACGCGTTATATACGTTGCATGTGATGCGGCGCGACGACCGTTCGGTTTGGTACAACTTATACTTAAAGCGCGGTAGTTGTCGCGCTGCGCATGTGCCACATTTGCGTTGATAAACATTGATTTTCCTACAATCCAATGCGCTTTTCAAATGGAAATCACAAGTATGAGGTTTGACCTGGGCACGACTTGCACTGATTACCGCCGGTGACTTCTTCGATGCCTTCCAATAACATGAAAATTACTTAATTAAAGCTTGGAAACGTCTAAGTTCGTACTCGTTGTTCTGCGCAACAGTCAAAGTCGCCATCTTTGTTTATATGAGACCCATATATCTCGCACATGCGCAGCGCGACGACTACCGCGCTTTAACCACAACACATATATACTTATAGCCGAACCGCGCCATTGTCAATGAGTAATTAAGCATCCCGGGCCACCTAGACTGTGAAGCTGGACGTGCCTCCCTATCTATACTGTTCTGCATCATTAGATATCCTCTTGGCATTTGCCTGCTCTCCGTTAATAGGTGGTACACTTTTTGGGAGAGACTGTTCTTCACCATGCCACTGTTTCAAGCGAAAATAATACCCAAGAATCTGCACTATTTTGATACAGAAGAACCGCAAGTACTTGTAGCCAATCACCAAAGCATAATAGATAACTTAGGTAAGAGTTTTCAATTTACACGATGAGGCTTGAATGTTACTGTGGATGGAATTATATGTGTGTGTACGCACTTCAGTATATGATGTGAAAGTATCAAGAAGCGTGAGACCAGTCTGGTTCGCGATTTTCGCCATGGAAGAAATGCATGATAGACACAATACACGAGGACACTAGTGTTAAAGCGCGGTGGTCGTCGCGCAGCGCGTGTTCGAATTTCATAAACAATGTATTTTACACGCAATTTTTTTTTGTAGCTATTTTTAATAGTTATTTAGGACTACGATTACCAAATATTATCTTCAATATATTTTACACGCGTTGTATACGTCGCTATGAATCCCATATCGAACAGGACGCGGCACGACGACTGCCACCCTTTAAGTTATCATGACAAGAAAATCACATAACTGTAAGTTTCGTTTATCTCCACAGGAGCTATGGAAATTTGGCCACAGCGATGCGTGATGGTGGCGAAAAAATCTGTTTTATTTGCGGGTACATTTGGTTTCGCATCGTGGTTGTGTGGAACTATTTTTGTGGACAGGTTCAATGCCGCTAAAGCCAAAGAGACGACAAGAAAAATCGCGAACGTCATGAAAAGGAAGAGGGTTAGTCATTTAATTAATCTTAGGAAACGTGGCGAAAAGGGGAGTGGAGAGAGTTTTTTTTTATTTTACACGTGGTGTACACGTCACATGGGACCCACCAATGATGCAACACGGCGCGTTGCAATGACTACAATGGGAATGAATAAGTGTTCAAAATGTAACATAGACGAGAACAAATTTTCTAGTTTAACGAGATCACAACAACTGAAACGAACAATATTGTGATAGGGTCACATTTTATTACCACACAATTAAATACCAGTAATTGATTTTTTGGCGAGATCATGTGATATTACAATTACAACACCAAAGAGGTTTCTGCCAAAGATTTTACGCAGAAGACACAAAAAAAAATAATAGTTATATTGGCGTTAGTTCTTTATACACATTTTGTATCAATGTAATTTTTTTTACTAGACAAGCGTTTGGATGTTCGCTGAAGGTACACGTAATTACGACAAGTCTGTTGACATGCTACCATTCAAGAAAGGTGCTTTCTACGCAGCCATCGAAGCTCAGGTTTATCTAATCTATTTTTTCTAATATGTAGTCCAGTTTTCTGGGAGATAATTTGACCGTACGAAACTGGATTTCCACATTAAACCGCATTTGTATATTATTCTAACTGAATATTGTGGTACAGTCATTTCGTCTTATCATCGTCGTTCTTTTAAAGCGGAGGGGTCGTCATTTGCGCACGCTAAAACGCAAAGGCTCATGGGTAGACGTTTGTTTGTAAACACGCTATGGCAATCTCTCCCGCTTTAATTACAAGATAATTGGGGTACATATCATGATTATTCAATATCCATTAAAAAAAAAATAATTTTATCACCCAATGTCACGGTTTTTTAAAAATATGTTGATGCTTTAAAATACGAGAATCGAGAAAAAAATATCTAATTTGTAGAACTATGCGGAGATTTTCTAAATCCCCTGTAGTTTGTAATTTCCTGGTTCCAGCACACGAGTCTCATTATTTACCCTCTTCCCGGCATGTGGTCATTTGACAATCTAAAATGGTGGGCGGGGACGTATTTAGATATTTGTGTCGGATCATCGATCAGTGTTCCTTGGGAGGGTAGTTAGTGAAGAGTTTACATATTGTACTTGACAAATCAATTATAGAATAGTATATTTGTCGCTTGTCTTGACCGTTCTATAAACAAATATATTAGGCCAAAGCACATTTTTGTTTCTTTTCTGGCCATACACACTTAGACCCACCAACAAACAGCATACAATTTCATGGGCACAATTTATTCATGGACACGTTTTGTGAAGAAGTACCGTTTTGCTAATGATGACGTCATTTATTTTTATTCCAGGCACCAATTGTTCCAGTTGTTTTCTCCAATTACAGGGACCATGTTAATGCAATAGAGCACCGGTTTGATCCAGGTGAGGGGAAACAAGGCTAAGAATGAGTCCTGATAACTGTGGTCCACATTCTAGTACGATTCAAATAAATCTCTCCTACATAGGCAGAATTATGCTGACAAATTATTAAAAAAACAACTATTTCTTATTAATCTTTTTTGAACAAGGTCAACTTTTGTCACGATCTTTCACAAAATATTTCTTCTTACTTTGTTTATCTTGTGGATGTGTTAAATGAACAATGTTTAATGATGACCCAGTATATAAATTGACATAGATTATCGTTATATAGTCATCAATATAGTTAATATATAATTGTTGTTATTCCCATTTCAGTTGAAATTACGATAACAATTCTGCCACCAATCAGCACCAAGGGTAGAACCGTGAATGACGTGCAAGCGCTGTCAGACGAAGTGAGAGAATGCATGCTGGAGGCATACAGGAAATCGCCGAGCAAAACAATGAAAACTGATCTTAAAAAGGAGTGATAATTTAAATGCTGAGAGAAAATAATCCACTACTATTCGTTTGTTTGGTTCATGTCCCATGACCACCAATATAATAGCCAATGCACGTCTGAATATTCACGTAGAACACGTAACGCCTCTTCCTGAAAACTTTCTGCTTCAAGTTCCGTGTGATTCTGAGGTGGTATTGGTGGACTACAATGCTTCATGTCTGGCGTTGATCAAACCAGGGATAAAATATAGGTTGAGTACACCAGTTGTTAATTTCAACGATCAACATACATACGAATTGATGTTTTTATAAATAAGCTTTGAATACTCTGATAACGTGTTTAACTTCGAAATAAAGCCTACGTATTTCTTACATTCTATTTACGTCTCTCTTATATTTCATAAAAATTTTGTTAGTTAAATAAACTCAAGAATATAATAAGCTGGCCTTCCCCGTGACCCCAGATGGCGAAGATGTCGTCGATGGATGAAACGTTTTTCAACAAAGTGGTTTGGTGCCTAGGTGTTGAGTAGCGTTTCATCTGATCTAATATGTTAGCATATTGGACGGGGTGGTGCCCATCGTGACTCTACGTGTCTGAATGTAATACATGTTGTTGAAAGACAGTTTAGTATGATGCCTGCTATTTTATGTATTTTTTAATGCATGGTACATTTGTGTATCAGCAATTTAGGCAATACTGTATGTATGCCTTCAACCCCTCAATCAGGGTTGCTAGTATCTGGTGGTAGAATGTGTTAGATTGCTGCTAGATAGGCAAGGTAATCCGTAGTATCTCTTATGTGTGATAGCAGAGACTCAACAAAGGACAGACTGAAGAGAGATGATTTTCTATAATTTGTGACAGCGACAATGGGTCTTCCGGAGGTACCAGTTTAAGGTAGAAGTCTACCCATCATTTTTGAAAAAATTGGTCATAATTCGCATGACAATGTTCATTAGTTTACTATGAAAAATCATGAAGCTATTGTCCAATGACACCATGAAATAACATTCTATTGTGTGTTACGGTGACGAATTTTGAGAAACTTGTTCTTATATTTTTCTAAAATCGCCATTTTTAGAACAATTCCATTGAGCACAATGTTGAACAAAAATTGCATTTTTTGACACTTCTTTAAACCCAGATTTTTGAAATAATTCAGAAAAACAAAAAGTAACCCATCATGTCACCAACCTACAATTTGAAATATGGCATAATATCTCTGCCATAGGAACCTATGGTAAAAGTACTACAATACTGTCAAAATAGCCACTATCCACTAAAATAAAACCATCATTTTCTCGAAAATTAAGCTGGTGACCCCCAACTTCTTTTAAGTCAATATTCTTATATTGCCCAGAAGTACAATTTATTAAAAAAAATAGATAAATTCTGGGTATTTGAATTCATGAGTAGGCTTCTTCCCTAATGAATATTGGTACTAACGTTGTACACTGGTGTTCCTGGGTTAGCATGTTCAGGGCAGTCATGTGTGTCTTTATGCTAAATTTTTTCTATGATGAATTCGCTGTATTTTGTTTTTCCTAATGTGTGACCCCCCCATGCAGATTTAGACTTGGAGAATTTGTTTTTCTGTTATTAATCCCAGCAGTTTTTGTTTTCAATTCTGCTATCGTCCCGAGTTTCTAATGGTCCACATCTAACGTGAAATCTGCCACTGCGTAACTGAAGAACAGTCAGCAGTTTGTTTGTTGGTTGGTTTTTTCGACGTATCTACTAATTCTGCTTTGTATATACCTGGACTCAATTGCCATGAGAGACGGAATTAACGGAAAGATAATTTAATAACAATCTGTTGAAGATACCATGGTGTTTTTGTCTCAATTACATAAATTAGCAGTGCCAAAAACTAAAGCAAGGGGCACGTTTACACCAAAGTCATCGATATATTTACGTTTCAGGGAGCATTGCTAACAACATTACTTTTCATAATTTTCGAGTCGAAGCAATCAGTGACCTTTAAACAATTCTTAAGAAATGTACACTGAACTTGAGTGAAACAAACATTTGCATACCGGCAAGGTGAGGTTGCATGAATTTGTCATAGTACCTTTTGTATATGCGGCTTAATAACTCTCGCGTTATTCGAATTTATATATTTTCTAACTATCTTTAAAATAAGCATAGTGTCAAACCAGAAACATTTTGAGATGTTTGCGTCATTTGGACAGAAACATTTCGACGATAGGGGACGCAATTTATAGTTGTATTATTTGCAAATATACCAGTAGTATACTAGTGACGTCATTCATTAATACATGAATTAATACGTGAATGTGATATATAACGTAATCAGACATACGATCCGCATGTACTTCAATTATCTCTACTTCGCCTTGTCCGTGCACGAAAGATTGTTTTAGTGTTAATTTTTCTTACTAATTATGTAAATGACACAGAATAAATATATTCCCAATTAATGCATCCAGATATTTTGAAACAATGTGTTTCGTGTTAAAATGTGATTCTTAAATCGGTAATATTTATATGGCTCACCTCGGTCCTTTTGTTGTCACGGTCTTGAATTTACAGTATTACCCATTTCGGGGGCATTATCTAAACGTTAACAGGCTAAAGACGAACTGTATAACACAGCGATAATGATTATAACAAGATAATTAAAAAAATATTGAAAATAATTCATAAGGAAATGTATTTTATATGCACACTAATGATAATTTCATACTTTACAAAAGGATATTACGGAAAAATATAATTTGCATTATTTTTGCATTTCATATGTTTTAAATTATAACTCATTAAAAAGCTGAATACAAATTACAAGCTATGATGCAATGTGTCCAACAACTCGTGTATGAGCAATAACTTTAATTAATTTTGCTCCGTATTTTCCTGCTTAAAAACAAAATAATTTCACAATGTCGAAAACGGAAAGTCTTAATCGTAATGTTTGTTTTGACATTAAAATGCAGAGTTAATTTATGTTTGTATAAATGTATATTCTGAATTACTTAATCTAATCGTAAAGTCTGCTTGGCTGGGTTTTGAAATGTATAACGTCACTGGGAACGTTCGTACGCCACCAGCGGTGTGTGCTCTCCGTTGATTATGAGCAGACCAAATAATTTGTTGTGATAAGTAGTTGTTACTAACGTGACAGCAAGTCAATTTGTTCAGTACGGTGACACCATTACCTCACACCAGACGCACGATGTAACCATAGAGTGTTTGAACTATGTGCAAATACAATTCCTTCCCTTATTCCCAAAGACCCACATATACACATTGTTCTCCACGTAATAAACTCGTGAATAGAATACTAACTGTCGGTTTCAAGTTGTGACATGGACGAACAAATATATTGTTTAATATTTGTTGTTTGATTTTCCATAATGTAGCTCAAATCGGATTCTACGTATCGAAACAACCAGTGCACATGCCCATTAGAAGATTTCTCAGGAGTGTTACAAAAAAAACATTCTCGTCATTATTACATATTTAAATATAAAATTATGCGCATGCGCACATGTATATCTTTTGCTTTAGCTATTAAGAAATTATTAATTAAACACAATATGCATACTATTTGGGAGAATAGATGTATCTCCCAAATTACTGATGAAACAACGTTGTTAATTGGAAAGAAAGAGATTATTATTGAAAATTTGGAAAGATGCTTTATTTGACGATGTTCGTAGATCCCCAAACAGTAGAAATAAGTTACGAACGTTTCGCAAATTTCAAACAAATATTTTTTATGAGAATTATTTGGATATCGTTCGTGTTCCCCTGTACAGACAAGCTTTAACTAAACTCCGGTGCACTAATCATAAGTTACACATTGAGACCGGTAGATATTATGGAACTCCAGTGGAAAATAGAACCTGTCAAATATGTACAGACGCTGATGAAGATGAGACTCATTTTCTGGTAGTTTGTCCAACATATAACCATATTCGAAAACCACTTTTTGATCGAATTAACTGCATTGAACCGCAATTTGAGCTCCTTTCGCCTATCAGTAAACTTATATATATTTTTTCTCAGGATAACAATGAAATCATCCAAATTCTTGCAAGATTTGTATACACAGCTTTTCAGATTAGATATAATTTGTTAGTGTGAGTTCTTCAATAGATGAGTTATAATATTTTATTTTATTGAGGCGATTAAAGTCGCGCTTTAACCTTTTTTTTATATGCATTGTAACCTGTTCCTCTAGGTTAGTGGGGTATATTTCTTTAGAGAAATGGAAATAAAATA